AAAATGGCTGTGCCCTCCATACAGATGAAAGTCCACAGCTCAGGTTGTCTCCCTCCTTGCTGTTTCCCTCACTAGTCATAGGCCACCAGCGTAATTGTCCCTGCAGTCCTTGGTGACCAGGGCTGATCTTTAGGTCAGTTCTCAGGTCCCAACACCACTTTGAAATATTCAGGCTGTTGGTCCTGTTAGAGTAGATAACAAGACCACTGCTCCGACCATCTCCGTACTCAATGTTTTCATTCAGGTTTTTCCACCAGTTGGTGCCTAATCCACTTCTGTATACTTCCTTTCAAAGCTCCAGGGCTCCAGGATGTATCTCTGTTAATTAGTTTCTTTTTTCTTCGTTGAAGATGGTCTGTGTAGCTTGTCTCCCTATTCCTCCATCTTACGGGAAGTCAGTTTTTCTTGTTTTTTGACACATTGATCTATTTTTCTCCTCAAAACATTCTAATGTTTTCTTCTTTTGCTTATTGGACTTTAGCTCCTGAACTGCTTCCTGATTTCTCGTGCATCTCATTTTAGGTGTTCCTCAAGAGTTGGTTCTTCATCTCTTCTCAAGCCTTAACTTGTTTTCTGTTTGGGATTTAACACTGTTGACTTTGCTGCTCTTTCTTGAAGCTTTCTGTGTTCTTCAAATCCATAGTGCTATTCTTTCCTGCTTCTCCTTGAACCGTTTCTTGTTGGTTTCAGTGGTGTCTGAAGACTTGATGGAACTTCCTGTTTCCTTGCATGCTATACTTGCTATTTTTATGCCTGTTAAGTTCCCTCTATTCCCCCCCTCCCCGCCCCAGTAGGCACTGCTCAGATGTCACCTAATCAGAAAGCCCTTTCCTGGCCACCTTATCTAAAGTAACATCCTCTCTTCCCACCACTATGTCCCTTTACTCTGCTTAACTCTTTTCACTTCCTGCCATATTAAAAGTTTGGTTATTTGTTTATTGTCTGTTTCCCTCCCAGTTCCCAGTAGAATGTAAGTAAAGTCAGACTTTGTTCTGTGCTGTGTTCCTCTGCATCTAGGATGTCTGGTACATTATCACCACTCAGTAAATATTTGTAGAGCATTAAATAAGTAATCAGCTTATAACTTCCTTGAGGACAAAGACTCTGTCTTAATCTTCTTTTCAATTTCCTCAAGAATCTAGCATAGTTCTGTGCCACAGCAGAATTATAAATAAAGTACATGAAGATTCAGATGAGAAATTAGTTAAAACTAGGAGGGTTTGGGGTAAGATCTGAGAACATTACAGAATGATAGAGGCAACAAAGATCTGGACCTTTGTGGGAACTTGAGAAGTACTAATTCACAGTTAATTTAGGAAGGGGCCACGAGTCTGTGTTTATAAAAAGCTTGATTTTTATAAACAGCTAGATTTGAAAAACTCGTGTTTAGGGTATGTGAAGTATGTCCCTGGAAGTAAGTTTGGAAGGGTGGATTGCAGATAGCTTGTGGAGCTGTGGAGGCTTTGTCAGGCAGTAGAGCTGGTGGATGAGAGTGCAAGCTCTGGGACTAGATGCTTGAATATAATCCTGGCTCTGCCACTTACTGGTCATGGATCTTAACCTCTCTGTGTTTCAGTTTTCTCATTTGTAAAAGAGGATCATTGTATTTATACCTAACTCAAATTGTTGTTATTTGGATAAATGAGTTAACATTCATAATGGGATTATAACACTGCCTGGAAAATAGTAAGTGCTAGTTAGCTATCATCATCATCATCATCATCAAGTAAAGCAATGGCACTAGTGTTGCATTCTAGAAAATTCTACAAGCAGTGTTTAAAAGAGATGAGGAAAATTGGGGTTAGACGATAAGTTAGGAGATTTATTTAGGAGAGAGAGAAAATATCAGATTCAGAGAGGATGGATTATACACACACATACACACATACTCAAATCATCTAAGCTTGACAACTGATTGGATTGTGGCAGAATCAGGAAAAGGGAAAGTTGAAGACATGCAAAGAGGTCAGGTATAGGTGATGACTCTGCCTACAGGGACTACAGTGAATAAGCATAGTATGCTAGGTGCTGATCAGTAGACTTTAGACTGTCTGCTGGATATAATTGAATTTGAGGTGATTGGAGGACATTTAGAAAGGTGACCTGTTGGAGGAATGCAGGATTGTGACTTTGAAAGGAGATCCAAATTAGAGATGGATTTGTGAGTTTTTCACTTAAAAAGCTTACTTTTAAAACTTTAAAAGTTTAAAGTTTTAAACTTTAAAGTTAAAACTTTAAGTTTGGGTGATATTGCCGAAGGAGAATGTATACTTATGGAAGAGGACCAAGGGCAGAACCACGAGACCCAACTCTTTTTATCAGATAGCAAGAGAAACGGCCATTTATTAGAAAGGGGGAAAAAGAGAATGATCAGATAAGGAGCACTGACAGTCAGTGTCTTGGAAACCGAGGGAGGAGAACGTTCCAAGAAAGGAATATCCAAATATTGCATGTTATAGAGACATTGAAGTGAAAAGATAGCTATGATGATTAGTAACAGATGATCATAAAGGAGCAGTTTTAGGAGACTTTGGTGGTGTAGTGCCTAAGCCATTTGACTGTTAACCAGAAGATTGGTGGTTCAAACCCACCAGGTGCTTCGCAGAAGGAAGACTGGGCAATCTACTTCTGTAAAGATTTACCACCTCACAAACCCAAAGGGGGTTGCTGTGAGTCTAAATCGACTTGATGGCAGTGAGTTTTGAGTTGGGGTAAAAGCAGTCAGCAGTGGGTTAGAAATAATTCTGGAAGCAGAGATAGTATCTGCCGTACTTGGCATGAAGGATATCATAAACAAAGACATGGAGATGAGAGTGAGTTTGGTGAGTACAGGATGATAGTCATCAGCCTGAGTGGGTCAGGGAGTCATTCCCCAGAGCAGTAGGGAGTTAGGTTGGAGAGAGGACATTAGAATTCCAGGATGAATAGTTGAGACTTGATCTACCAGGAATTTAAAGAAAGTAAAAATGAAATTATGACTTACAGACATGAATTTGGCTGGCTATGGAAAATGAGTTGAAGGTTGGGGAGCACAGAGACAAGGAGTCCAGTTGGGAGGATCTTTTATTCTTCTAAACAGGAGATAACAAGAATGTAGGGTAGGAATGAGCCTGCTTTAGCTCTTGGCTCCTAATTGAAAGCCTACCAGCTGCTCCATGGGAAGAAAGACCTGACAGTCTGCTTCATAAGGATTACAGCCTAGGAAACCATTTGGTTTAGTTCTACTCTGTCCTGTAAAGTCGTGATGAGTCATAATAGACTAGGCGGCAGTAGATTTGGTTTGGTTTTGGTTTCTTCATTTACCCTGTACCATAGAGCTGTTACAAAGCAGTAGGGGAAATGCCAGAGTCAATCTGTAAGAAAGAATGGAAGTCTTAAAATAGCTACATTGTCCTGAGTACTTTGCTGTTGGATTACGTACTGTCAAAGCTGTACGACTCATAGCAACTCTCTGTACAACAGAATGAAACACCGCCCAGTCCTGTGCCATCCTTAGTGTCATTGCTGTGCTTGAGCCCATCGTTGTAGCCACTGTGTCGGTCCATCTCATTGAGGACGTTTTCACTGACCCTCTTCTTTACCAAGCATGATACCCTTCTCTGGGGCTGATATCATTCTGACAACATGACCAAAGCAGAAGAGACAAAATCTTGCCATTCTCACTTCTAATGAGCATTCCAGCTGTACTTTGTCCAAGACAGTATTTTCATTCTTCTGGATGTCCATGGTACACTCAGTGTTCTTCACCAACACCACAATTAAAATGTGTCACTTCTTCTGCAGTCTTCCTTATTCATTGTCCAGCTCTCTCATACATAGGAGGCTTTTGAAAATACCATGGTCAGGCACACCTTAGTCTTCAAAGTGACATCTTAATTCTTTAACGCTTCAAAGAGGTCTTTTGCAACAGATTTGCCCAATGCAATACGTTGTTTGATTTCTGGATTGCTGCTTCCATGGGCTTTGATTATGGATCCAAGTAAAATGAAATCCTTGACAATGTTTATCTTTTTCTGTTTGTCACTGTGTTGCTTGTTGGTCCAGTTGTGAGGATTTTTGTTTTCTTTTTGTTGAGGTGTAATTCATCCTGAAGGCTATAGTCTTTGCTCTTCATCAGTAAGTGCTTCGAGCCTTTGTCATTTTCAGCAAACACGGTTCTGTCATCTACATATTACAGGTTGTTAAAGAGTCTTCTTCCTCCAATCCTGTTGCCATGTTCTTCTTCATATAATCTAGCTTCTAGTATTAATTTGCTTAGTATACAGATTGAATAAGTATGGTGAAAGACTACAACCCTGATATTAAACCATGCAGTATCCCTTTTTTCTGTTTGAACGACTGCCTTTTGGTCTATATACAGGTTCTTCATCAGCACAATTTAGTGTTTTGGGATTGCCATTCTTCACAATGTTACGCGTAGACTGTTAGCCCTTTGCATAGTCTGTAGAACATAGATAAACATCTTTCTGGTATTCTTTGCTTTCATACAAGATCTATCTGGCATCAGTAGTGATGTCCTTCTTTCCACGTCCTCTTCTGAAACTAACTAGGATTTCTGGCAGTTTTCTGTCAATATACTGCTGCAACCATTTTTGAATTATTTTCAGCAAAATTTTACTTGTGTGTGATGTTAATGATGTTGTTCGGTAATTTCTTCATTCTTCTGGATCACCTTTCTTTGGAATGGGTGCAAATATGAACCTCTTCCAGTTGGTTAGCCAGATAGCTGTCTTCCACATTTCTTAGTATAAACAAGTGAGCGCCTCCAGCGCTACTTCGTATGTTGAAACATGTCAATGGATATTCCGTCAGTTCCTGGAGCCTGAGTACTGTAGGTTTATGAAATCAGCAGGAGATGAGAAATATTTTCCTGCTTTTGTGAGAGGCCCCAACCTGTTGTTAAATTGCTAGTGTTACTTTGTGTTCAGTTTTATAGGGAGAGTGTTTATTTCTAGAAGTATTTATATATCAAACCAATTTCCTTTTCTTTTCTTTTTTAGGCTAGGTCCTTCCACAAAAGTGTTCCTGTGAAAGCATTTCCCGCTTTTCTTCCAACGGTAAGGAGATTAACAAAGAAGGCTCTGTAATTAGTGGAACAGATGTGTCTGGTCTCTTTTTATGTTTTATAAAGATGCCAGTGCAGTTCTTCAGTTTGCAGCCTCTGGTTTTGTTTCCCTCCCTCATGGTGAGTTTACTAGTTACGCTGGTGATGATCATTCCTGTATTTCCTAGTCAGCAGAGTTGTTGGTAGCACTGACTTTGCAGCCAGACTACATGGGTTCGAATCTGTGTTGCCATCTGCTGACCACAGGAGCTGAAGTTCCTTAACCACTATGTTCCTCAGTTTACTCATATGTAAAATGGGAATAATAAGAGAACCTACCTCACTGAGTTCTTTTGACTACTTTTTTTATGTACCAAAAACCTACTGCTGTCCAGTTGATTCCAACTTATAGTGACCCTGTAGGACAAAGTAGAACTGCCCCATAGGGTTTCTAAGGCTATAATCTTTATGGATGTAGACTGCCACATCGTTCTTTTGTGGAGCATGACTGGTGGGTTCTAACCACTGAACTTTTGGTGCAGCTGAGTGCTTTAACCACTTCACCACCAGGGCTTCTTTCCATAGTAATAACCAAAAAACAAACCTACTGCCATTGAGTCGAAGAACAGGGTAGTACTGCCCTTAGGATTTCCAAGGCTGTAATATTTATGCAAGTCGATTGCCACATCTTTCTCCTGTGAAGTGGCTTGTGGGTTAGGTGCTCCTTACTTTCCTTTTAATTTTTTTCCAGAGAAACTATAGTGTAGCACTAGTTCCTGAATAGTGGTCCACAGACCAGTGCTGAGCTAGCTGCATCAGAATAACTCGGAAACCTTTTTAAAAATATACATTCTTATTAGAGGTGGTCCCTAGAGGGATTTGTGGTTTAAAACCTGATATGTAGCCAGGTGTGGGAGCTATGTTCTATATAAACTAATGATGATAGGTACCAATTATTTAGTGCCTGTTACAAGACATGCTTTGGGCTAGGTCATTCCATACATTAGCCCTATTCCTCTAAGGTATGTTTTACTTCATTTTATAGATAGAAACCTGGGTTCAGAGATTTTGTGATCTTTGAAGATTGAAAGCTAATGCATTTTTACAATGCCAGACAAATCTAACTTCTTTCTTCCCTAAAACCTCAAGTATATGTAAAGGTGTATTTCTGTCCCTTCACATCTTTCATCCCAGCTCTCACGTCTGAATATTTGAGATTGTTTTGTTTCTTTATTGGGTTTGCTTATTATAAAAGTAATACATGAATTAAATGTTCATGTAAGAGGATACAAAAGAAGAAAATGTGAACCTCTCACAATTCCACCCTGTCCAAAGATAATTGTGTTCATCTTTCTGGGTTTAATGCACATATAATCACATGTATATAGATAGATAGATAGATAGATAGATAGATAGATAGATAGATTTTTTTTTCTTTTGTATAAATGGGGTATCAATCACCTCTTTCCATGTCAATACATATTGTTCTATATCACCCTTTTTAATGGTTATTTATATTCCATTTAGTGGATGTACTTTCACCTGTTGAACTTACTCTCTAAATAAGTCCCATAAGGTTAATTTTGTTCGTTATTATGAAAAAAAGACTGTTCTTTGGTCTGGCTACCCATCAGAATCACTTGTAGAGCATTTTAAAAACAAAACAAGTGAGCAGCATCTAAGGTTTAACTATTGGTTTCTCCACGTCAAGAGCAAAAAAGAGTGAAGAAAATCAAAGACTTAGGGAAACAATTGGTCCAAAGAACAATGGTCCACACTAACCTCAGATTCCATGACCTTGAAACTGAAAGTTCAGAAGGCAGGAAGGGTTAGGAAAGAAGGAATGCAAATGAGAAACATAGGGAAGAAGTGGGTGGAGTGATATTACATCATGGGGATTTGCAATCAATGACATGAAACAAAAATGTATGAATTATTGAATGGAAAAACAATTTGCTCTGTAAACTTTCACCCGAATCACAATAAAATGTTAAAAAAGAATTGATGGCAACAGTGAAACAAAACAAAATGATGCTTAGGCCCCTCCCCAGACCAATTAAAGTTGAATCCAGACCTTGATACTTCTAAAAGGTCCTCCTGACTATTCAGAACAACTAGGACTGAGAACCACTTAGAGTGGAGGTTCTCCACGTGTGGTCCTTGGCCCTAAGCAGAAAGGGTACTTACTAGATGTGCAGGTCGTGGGCCCATGCAGACCTACTGAATCAGCAACTGGGGCTGGGCTTCAGCTCTGTTGCCATCCTGTGCCAGAAGAAGCTGGAGGACTATGTGGTGATTCCTCAGGGACTGCTTTTATTGCAGGGCTTCAAACTGGTTCGTTCTGGTTTGACCCTCTGCTGAGAATTTGCGTTTTCACCTCAAATACACTGAATCAGAATTTACAGTTTAACAGGATGCTCAGCTGATTCCTATGTGTACATCTTTAAGCATCACCTGGAGATTTATATAAGTCAGTTGTATAAAATATTTTTCCTGAATTGTCTGAAAGAGTATACTAAATTACTTTCTCACTTGCTGTCCTGAGGGGATATTTAATATTAATTTTCAATTCTAGAGTGTTTAATAACATACTTTTAAGCTACTTTAGGTAGCGAAACGAGTGCTAGATTTGGATTCAGAGAGACCAACTTTCAAATTCCACCTCTGCCTTGTCTGGTTATGTGACCTTGGTAGGCATACTATTCAACAGTTCTAGGTCTCAGTTTCTCATCTATAATAGAATCTTTCTCCTAGGGTGTCATAAGAATTAAATGACATGTATGCCACAATGATTAAATGACACATAATATGCAAGACCTGGCACATAAAATTTTTAAAAATTGGTAATGCGAGGAGGCGGGGCAAGATGGCGGACTAGGCAGAAGGATTGCACAGACCCTCTTCAACAAAGAAAAGGGAAACCAATTAATACAGACACAGAAGATAATCTTGGACCCCTGAGCCTTGAAGGAAAGGATGCAGATTTGGACTAAACCCCAACTAGCAGAAGAATTTGCGTGA